CGAAAAAGTTGCTCGCAAAAGCCCGTTTGACAGAAATGTTTAAAAAGTGTTGGGTTTCCTACGAATCCGCAAGAGCGCGCGGGATGAGATTTTGACAATTTTTTGTTGAAAAACCATTGGTTTTTTGATGTTTTTATGTTAAAATCGCTGCGAACACTAAGGTTTTGGAAGGATTTCGTCTTGCGCGCGCGAATGTCCACTTTACCTTATTTTTTGCAAGGGATTCTTGAAATTTGATTATATTAGAACAAGAAATGTCATTTTCTATTGTTTTTTGCAAGGGAAAGCGGATTACAACAAAACAACCGGATCCTGTACACACCCTCTTTTCTGAGGCTTCCTCACGAAAATGATGAAAATGTAGCTGCGGCCTAGGCGGCGCAGGGGGGGCGCGCACCAGGGGGCCCAACAATAATTATTCTTTAGAATAAATAATGTTCAACAACAACAATTACTAGCACGTGGGGACACTCCGTTCTCACCAGTGCCAGGGTTTTCATAGGAGGCGGGCAATACCCCCACTTTGTGGGGGGGCCGGTTCAAGCTCTACCAAATTTCCAAACGACTCTTCGCCACCACCCACACCCAGCTTCCCGCCCTATGACGTTCGGACACTTCACTTCGTGGCATGCGGACGACCGTGGCTACTATTCAGGGCCCCGCGGCCGACGACGACGGCGTGCGCGCGCGAAGAAAAAACGAATGTGTCCCGCATGGTATTATTTGACAGGGATGATGGCCCTGGCAGGTGCGCAACCGTTGTCGCAGAAGTTCGAAAAAGTTGCTCGCAAAAGCCCGTTTGACAGAAATGTTTAAAAAGTGTTGGGTTTCCTACGAATCCGCAAGAGCGCGCGGGATGAGATTTTGACAATTTTTTGTTGAAAAACCATTGGTTTTTTGATGTTTTTATGTTAAAATCGCTGCGAACACTAAGGTTTTGGAAGGATTTCGTCTTGCGCGCGCGAATGTCCACTTTACCTTATTTTTTGCAAGGGATTCTTGAAATTTGATTATATTAGAACAAGAAATGTCATTTTCTATTGTTTTTTGCAAGGGAAAGCGGATTACAACAAAACAACCGGATCCTGTACACACCCTCTTTTCTGAGGCTTCCTCACGAAAATGATGAAAATGTAGCTGCGGCCTAGGCGGCGCAGGGGGGGCGCGCACCAGGGGGCCCAACAATAATTATTCTTTAGAATAAATAATGTTCAACAACAACAGCAACCATCAGTTTGAGACAGTTCGCGCTTACTGGCCTCTTAATGGCACGCGTGTCTTGCAATCCGTATACCCCAGCCCTCGATGCCCGCCCACTTCGCCTTCGATTGCACCCTTTTTCGAAGGGACTCTTTTCCTTGTCGGCCACTGACTGAAGTGCGAAGAAGTACCGAGCGAGAGCGCCGTTCCTGAGCTCGGGGGCCTTTTTGGCCAGGGGCCTCCGGGGTAAATCGTGAGGAACGATCGAGCAAGAGCCCTTGTCGTCGTGGTTGGGCGTCCGCCAACTTAATTGAATTGCGAGGGCGTCTTGAGCAAACGCGCAGTTCCTGAGTTCGGGCGCCTCTCTGGCCAGGGTGTCTCGGGGTAAATTGTGAAGAAATATCGAACGGGAGCCGTTGTTGCCGTAGCTCGGCCTTCAAGCGCCCAAATTTAGGCTCAATCCAACGCTCGAGCGGAAGATTCGTTTTCAGAGAAAATGAGGCTGGCGTCGAGGTGAGAGCGCGCGGAACCATTGCCGGAGATCAAAATACTTATTGTTTACAAATGAATCTTAAACAACAACTACTACTACTACTACTACTACTACTACTACTACTACTACTACTACTACTACTACTACTACTACTACTACTACTACTACTACTACAACTACAACAACAACAACAACAACAACAACAACAACAACAACATCATCATCGTCAGCATCCGCATCATCATCACCATCACCATCATCACAACCATCAGAGTCATCACCAGCATCATCAACATCATCGGCACCACCATAAAAATCAGCACCCGTATCAGCAGCATCACCATCGGCAACATCAGCTGCATCGCCGACAGCCTTGCCATCAGCATCAGCATCAGCATCAGCACCATCAGCATCATCACCATCGTCATCACAAACGAGATCAACAACATCATCGTCGTCATCGTCATCAGCAGCAGCATCAGAATCAGCGTGTTCGTCAGCATGGCCGTCATCGTCATCATCATGAACACCACCATCCTCATCATCACCGCCACCGCTATCACATTCAGCATCAACAACATCATTGTCGGCAGCAGCACCACTGCCATCATCCTTCATCAGTATCCTCAGCGTGACCAGCATAGCTATCATCGCCATCGTCATCATCGTCATCATCATCATGATACCCGACGCTAGTTTTGCAAAGCACTCCATTTGTGAAATTTGCGAGGAAAGGCTGGCCAAAGGCGGCCACGGGCGTTTGGGCGCAGCGGCGCTGGTTCTGCCGCGCGGCCTCCCGGAGCCCCAAGGACAGAGAGCTCTTGACCCGTTGAAAAGCCGCTCGCAAGGATGAGGGGGGTAGGGCGAGAAAGCTGTAGACTACTCCCTTCTACAATCATTACCGCGGTGCTCACGTGATCTCCGACGCCCGATTTGCACGGCGCCCAATGCGCGAGGAAAGGCCTGCCAAAGGGCGGCCAGGGGCGTCGGGGCGAAGCGGCGCTGGTTCTGCCGCGCGGCCTTACATAGCCCCGAAAACAGAGAACTCTCGACCTGTTGCAACCTCGCCGCCACTGCCACGTGTCTGAAACGCGCATTGCCCTCTGGGTGCGTCGGCGGCACAATCGCGCAACACCCTATGCAGCTGGTGCGTCGGCGACACGATCACCCAACACCCCACGCAGCAAACTGTCGGACGCGCTGTCGGCTGTCAGACGACATGCGGGCGAAGGACAGGGCGGCCGCGCCTATCTGGAGATAATGACACATGGATTCGGAATTCTCCCAGCGCCGACGGCATAGTAGCAGCCCCAGGTTCTGCAACGAGCGGAAGTGGCGAATGGCCCCGCCCCCTCGCAGCGACCCGAGGGCGCAGGGCGAGTCGCCGATGCCGACACAGCTCTTTAGGCGGATGAACCCGTGGGTCGATCCGCGCAGCTTCCCTGGGAACAGCGCTGCCGTGGACGAGAGGGGGCCAAAGAAGCGCCCCATTCAGCTCAGCAACGCCGGACCGTCGATCGGGACGCTCGGGAACTTTGGCCTCCGGTCGAAATGTCGTGGCGGCGGGCAGCACAAGACGCCCCCATTGACGTCTCGCCTCCCAGGTCGCCAGGCAGAAGAAGGTGCTGCCCGAGGGCATTCGTGACCTCGCCGGGCCGCAGCAGCGAGTAGAAGGCGAGCAGCAAGCACGCTGACGTTCTGCTCCATCCCTGCGCCTGGGCAGCGACGGCCAGTGCCGGGAGCGCCTCGACCGGCGCGGGCGCGCGCATCTCGACCAACTAGGAATTGGACCAGCGAGCCACCACGGCCCAGGCGGGACGCAAATGACCGCGGGTCTGGGGCCAGCGAAACCAAACGCCAACCAGGGACTCGGACCACTGACCACCATGAGCACGGCGCCTTCGCGTCGTTGAGATACTGCGCGCAGGCGCCGAGGGCGGCGTCGAGCGGCCCGATGTCACGCGCGAAGTCGTCGGGGCGGAGCAGCCCTCGACACTGGAGCCACAGGCTCCACTTGTCAAGCATGCCGAAATACCGACGGGCAGTGACTGGCTTGACCGCCACTCGGAGATCCCGCCCGGCCCGCGAAGCCTTTCGCCGCGAGACTGCACCAATACCGATACCGCTGCCCCCTGGACCTGGACCCTCTCAGGGTGCGTTCTGACCATGATTTCGGGGCGAATCCAGCCATGGCGACGAAAGACTTCGACATGCTCCGGTCTGATTTTGTCGATGCGAGGCCCCAGAGGTCCCGACCCCTGGCGGCCCTGAGGCCCGCTGACGGGCCCCAGGAGGCGAACTTCCGGGGCCGAAGCGAAGGGAAGACCGCCGCTTGAAAAGATCATGTCGTCGGAGATATCTGGGTCTGCCCCTCCTCTCGCTCTTTCCAGACCTGCTCGCGTCGAGAAAAAGTCACGGCCCGAAGTTTGGGGCCCCTGTCGGCCTCCTGGGGGGGGGGCCTCGCCAGGCCCAAGAGCAATGAAAAACGACCTAAGAGCATAAATCGGATCCGGGGGAAAGCGTCGAGCCCAGACACGCGGTGCCCTGACCGTTTTTCGATACCAGGTCCCTGGAAGTCCCGACCCTTCCCCCAGTGCCGATGTCCGGTGATTCGAAGAAGATGGGGTCCTGAGGGATTGGCGCCCAAAGGCAGGAAGGGATCCTAGGTTGAATAATTTGCGTGGTTTGAGGCACCTCGTCTTTAGGATTACATGGTTCCCATCGTACTTAGGACCACATCCCAGAAAGAATTTCGAGCACCCAGAAAAGTAATTATCGCAACAGTGTCGACCGAGGATCGCCCCCCAGGGCCCGACACGTGAAAACCCTCCAGCTCCGGTCCTTTCTGGGTGCTCGAAACTCCCTCTGATCATCGAGGCTACAGTAGGTTGGAAGATCCGAACTTTGGGACCCCATCCCTCAGGACTCCGTCTTTGAACCACCGAGGCCTGGCATCCCGAGTCTTTTCGTTGTCGGCCCCGGGGCCCCACGAGGGCCCGCGGCTTTTCCGCAGCCTCGGCGCCTCGGCGCGCGGCTGCTCCGCGCTCTCCGGGGAAAGAAGCGCGGCGCGCGCCACGCGCAGCGGGGCGCCGCCAGAGCGGCGGGCCGCCTGGCGCCTGGTGCTGCCAGCGGGAGTGGACGGTTTCCCCCGGGGCCGTAGGCGACCCGAGGAGGGGAGGGCGAGGAGGGGGAGGAGGGGGAGGAGGAGGAGGAGGAGGAGGAGGAGGAGGAGGAGGAGGAGGAGGAGGAGGAGGAGGAGGAGGAGGAGGAGGAGGAGGAGGAGAGGAGGAGGAGAGAGGAGGAGTGGTGGTGGTGGTGGAGCTCCCTAGCGACCAAGGTCAAATGATCGGAGGAGATGTCTGGGGTTACCCCCTCACTCGCGCCTCGGCTCCCCACAACTGGGGGGCGCCAGCGACAGTGCCAGCCGGCATCTGTCGGCGCACGGCCTCATTTGCAAGCTGCTACTACTGACACAAAACAAATTCATGCAACAGACTGCGCATGCTCAACTTACACAGCTCAGCACTGCACCCTGCTCACTCTCACATGCACTGCTCACACGATCAAACAACACTCCCACTGCAATCGCCTCTCACTCCCACAAGCAAGATGCAGCACTAACAACCAATAGGCACACCACGGATGTCGACCATCGGCACGCTGCAAGCGAACACCACACCGTCCCCACTGACATTCAGAAGGTCCAATGCACAGCTGAGTACTTGAAATCGGTCCTGCTCATGACCTGCACCACAGACGGCCCAGATGACCACGCCCCTGAGTGCAGTAAAAAATTTCAGGCACATCACTCAATGTCGCCAAGTCACCAGCAGCCACGACACAATCCCCGACACGTAGGCTCTACTGCGGAGTCAGCATCTTCTGCCCCTCCACCTCGAGATACCCAGCAGGGCGGGGACCCGTGAACACTTCAGCGCCCACATGCTCATACAAAACTGAGACGACCACACACTCTAACTCTTTGTCAGCCAGCGTCACAATCAAGCGGCGCAGCTTCGAGTCGAACATCTTCTCAGTCCTGAACAAGCGAACCAGTAGCTGCGCCTGAAGAGAACCAGGAACGAAACTATCCATGCACTTCCTCAAGACTCCTTGCTGCTCAGGCGACCCTTTGTTCGCCAGCACGAGCGCTGCCCCTGCAAACTGGAACGAATCTGGAGCACCAAGCTTGTGGCCCTTCTGGCCCTTCACTCTCGGCAGATACTCCTGATCGTGAGCGTTCTTAATACCCACATACACTGGATCCTCCACCTTCAATGCAAACTGATACGTCACAGCCGCCTCCAAGAGCCTGTTGCGCTGTGCGTTGATCACCCCCAACTTCAGTGCCACATCAGCCTTGGCCTCCGTGGACGAAGCAAGGGCAACCCGCTTACGCTGCGTCGACTCCTCAGACGCTGCTGCTGCAGCGGGCTTCTCGCCCACCTTGCCGAAGAGAGCCCCCCACTGCTGATTCATCACACAAAAAACTCTTGGGTTTCAAGGGGAAGGTGAGAACGAAGATGCCACTGAGCCGACTCGTAGCTACTGAAGCTCAAATCACAAATCTCACACGTATACGGTGGGCTGGTAATATGACTATGCTGAACAGCAGAACCACGGGACCGAGGACATCTACCTTGTTCTAAACTCTTTTCCAAATGAGCACTAGCATATCTTTTGGTAGTGTAGAAGTTGCCACACAGAATGCACGCATTGCTAATAGTAACTATACGAGCCATAACCCGATGCCCATGATTAGGTTGCCGAGAATTCGCTTGATGAAGTAATAGCTGCCTCTTAGACGGGAACGACGCTCCACAGACACCCTCCGACTCCCCAAGACTGAGATCACATTTGAAGTCACCCTCAGACGGAGGAGGAGGAGGCGAAGGAGGAGGAGGGGGGCCCAAGGAAGGAGCAGCAGCCAAGGACGAGCCCCCACGAGCCCCCAGAGACCCCGACGGGGCACTGATCTCAACCTCGACAGGCGGAGCTATCTGTTTTCCTGTGTACTCGCTGTACAAAATCAGCGGGTCAGCCGAGAGGAACTCCGAGCGCACATCAACTGAACAAAACAGTGCAGCTGGATACTTCTCGACTTCAGCCGCAATCTCAAAAAACTCGGCCACACGAGCAAGCTCCATGAAGTCGGCAAGAAACTGATTCCACCATTCATTAGGCCTCCCACATAGGTACCCCTCCCTATCCAAAAATCGATTATCCTCCCACTCAGCTTGGCCAAAAAGAGCACCTATCACCTGCAAGTTACGAAGTGGCCAGCGAACAATACTTTGCATCCACTTCAGTCGCTGCATACGCAGCCGCAGAGAGACAGGACAAAGCCGCAATTGGCAGTAAATGTCGCGTGTGGATCTCGCCTGATACTTAATACCCTCCTCCAACTCCTCCTTAATGCACCCCTCCCCCTTCATCACACGTCGAGCAAGAATAGCTTGAACGCCGTCCAAGCGCGTGCAGCAATCCGTCGTTACTGCAAGTGACACCAGCCCCGACGTAAGCGCTCCCTCAATAACAGCCTGAAAAATAATACTCTTCCATCTCAGATTAGTACAGCTATGCCAAAAACGCCCCAAGAGCCCAAAGCTTTGCCTCGCCTTTTTTATTCTACGGGGATACTCATCACTGCAGCTGCCATCAGCCCGTAAATACGGCCCCAGGTACCTGCAACAACGATTCACGCGCCCAGGAACTCTCTCGCCAGTGCTCAGCTGCCAGGACCCAGACGGACAATCGTAGTGACCTCCAAAAACACGGCGACGTGACACATGCGCACCTTTGCCCGCAAAGTGGACCAGGCACTCCTGCTTGCTGCTATTCAGCGCCACGCCACCAATGGCAAGACGGTCTTGCAGCCTCTCGAGGTTCGCAGCACTTAGTCTGACAAACCCCTCACACGATCGCAGCAGCTGCGTGCGACAAAGATCATCAGCGAAGCTGGTGAAAGAGATATCGATCGCACGATCGGCCCAAGCGCAAAGAGCAATACGAGCACCCTCATCCTCTCCTAAGCAGTGCTTAAGCCACGGGACCCTGACGCTAAGCCCAGGACTATCTTCCCCCATATACCCATCAAGACACCAGTGGTAGACTCCTAGAAACCACACTGGAGCAACTGTGTCGCCAGGTAACGTTCCTGACCCCAACGCTACTTCCAAAATTCCATCCACACACTCCAGAGACATTTGCCCGTGGTCAAGTCTTTGTCCTAGAAGAGCTGCAGCAAAGGGGGACGCATGCTGCTTCACAAACATCTTAAGCAACCAGTGCTCCACGCTGTGAAAGGCATTCGTCGCATCATAGAAGGTCGAGAAAAAGCTCAGCTTGGATTCACGAAGCCGCTCACCACATAGACTCTGAACAAGCACCGCTCCCTCCCGACGACGACGTTTCATATACCCGTAAGCGTGACCACGATTAGCATAACTGCTTAGATCAGGATTAGCACGCCATAAACACTTATAATAAATTTTACCAAAGGAATCCAAGCTGTGAACTAGCCTTACTCCCTGACAATCCGCCTTCCCGTTGCCCTTACTCAAGGTGAAAGCTTGACTACAATGCCAGATCAGCGGCGCCTCCATGTGCAAACGAATACTCACCAAAATAAACAGCAAGCAATACTTAATCGCGTCAAAGTTCCACTCCTCATTGCCTCCTCCAACTCCTGTTCTCCGTTGCCTCCGAAATTCACCAGGCCAGAACAACATGCGCCAGATGCCAGCAGGAAACGACCATTCAGGTGGTGCTTTCCGTAGCTTCACTCGCTTAAATGCACCAGAGATAGGTCCAAAGTCCTCCTTAGCCACTCTCACCGCCTCACTCATCTCCTGCTCATTCGGTTCCTTAGGATCTCTCGTCAACCTCTCATCCAACTGCTCATCGTATGTCGCATCCGTGGCAGCAACACCTCCCTCAGGCCCTGAGCCCTCCAGAAACTTGCGCCATGTCTCAGCGTCCATGAACGTGCGAGGAGCAGAGTACAGCCTGAGCTTCGGTCCAAGAGCTTTGCCACTCAGTCTCCTAGAAACATCCCAGGCAGAAAAAAACTCACGCTCGTTCCAGGCATCCTCCAGCTCGGCTACGCGCAGGCCGATTAAACAGTTTCGATCCTTTCTCACCCG